ACGGTTCACAAAATCGGTTCGATTGGGAAGTGATCTCTCTAGCTATTCTGAACGGCTAGCTGAACTAAACTGGGATAACTTAAGCAAGCGTCGCTTAAAAAAGGCCTTAGAATTTATTTATAAGCTTAAGTTCTGCAAAGTTCCACTTTGTGAGCTAATGTTTGTTCCCTTGGAAATTCCCTTTTCTGCGCTTGAGTCTGTTTCAGGTCACACCCGTTCAACTGCCCGTCTCCACGACCATCCATGTCCCGTCAAACCGGCACCTACAACCATCTGCGGTACTACTGTTTTTTCGCGTTACGGATCACATGTGGACAGTCTAGCATCGATATGGAATGAATTGCGCCTTCCCCCCGAAGCTTACCTATCACTGACATCCTTTCAAGCTGCACTTCAGGATGTTGACTGGAGCAGTCTAACAGTGGCTAAACGACTGCTGGAGTTTAAATAACTTTGTTCCTGTTTTTGCATTAAATTTTTGCTTTCTGTTTTAGATCGCTTCCGAATAAGACAATTTTTGTTCTTCGTTAGTTGTGTACGTACTGCATGTTTAAATAACCCTCTTGCCGACCTACTGTCTGTTGCCTCGAGGGGGCTGTTCGCCCCGTTGCAAATGACATTAAAGCATTATTATTTTATTTCCATTTTAGCATCTCCGGTGATATAAAGCGTATAGTGCCGACGCAGTTTTTGACGTTCTCTTGCAAACTCATGCAATCATCTAAATCGGCAATTACCAGTTTATGTCCCTTCTCACACCGCCGAAACAACAAATTTTCTGGCTTTAGGTCGCAATGAATAATACCCTGATGGTGCAGATATCGCAGACCGGAAGCAATATGTAGTGCACTTTCCGCAATTCTGTGAGGTTCAAGTAAGATTCCTTGGTTTCGCAGTTCTTGCAAAGTCTGATTGAGATTTCCACCTAAACAAAAAACAGCAAGCATTACGAGAAAAGCTCACTGGACAACTTGAATAAGGTACAACGCATCACCATTTAAGATTGTCGATGACCATGGTATCCCTCACCAAAATAAGCGATTTGCCACCGCTGCGCTCGGCTTTGTGTGCAAGCGGTGCAGTCAGTCGCAAACCGAAATCCATGAAAACCACAATTAAATCGATTTTCAGTTTGTCTACGAATTTCTCATTTCCTTTGCTCAGAAAGCTGTACAAAATAACCGAAGTACATTTATACGAAGGTGTGCGATATCGCAGCAGTTACCATGAAAATTATTTCGCAGTTACACCTTTAGAAATTTCCACTGTTTATTAGTCGTATTACTCGTCGGCTGTCAAAAAAATTTTTTTGAACACATGAAAAGGCCGTTCGTGCAACTTTGCTTTGGAGTTTACAGACTAGCGTACCGTCGCAGAATTCCATTACAAAAAATTCCTTCTGTGATTGTCCGCTTGTCGTCATAAGAAGGACAGTCTGGTAATACGGCAGCACATTTTCGTGCGAAAGGCTCAGCAGTCTTGATAGCTGCTTTTGTCGGTCGGCAAAGTCTTCCTCCTCATTCAGAGTCACGAGTTTTATTGCTACACAGCCGAGTATTGCTCCTTCACCGTTATCGTCACTTCCTATAGCCTCTGCAAGGTAAACAACCAAACCGGCCTCGACCAATACAGGAGTATGATCGATACCAGATGTTTTGTTCCTTATCCCGCAACTCGAGTACGGGTTTTTCGTTCTCCATTTGTACAAGGTTAACGTTAAGCTGCCAAACCCTCTGTAGTAAAGTAGAAAAGCCAACAGAAAGATATTCAGTGTACAGATAGATGTCGTTTACTAACGTACGCAGTAGTTGCACACTTATCACATACCAAAGATATAGCCTGCTTGCATGTCATAAAGCCTGACAAATAAAGTGGAAACGGAAACCAACATTCTATACGATAAGATTAGACTAAATTTCCGCGATACATCCTTCGGCTGACTCATTTATGTGCGATGCTACAAACATACGTCAGTTCATTTCTCAGTGGCAACCCGTGACATCGAAGTAGCATCAACAACATTCATGGTTGGTCGCGAAACATACATGCGCCACAGTCGCCGGGTGCTGTCTTGCCAGTAGCGATGGTCAAGCAGAACAGTATGGGATCCAGTATCGGCAGCAGAGAATACGCTGTCGCTTGGAATTGCCGAAACACCGGATATGCATAAGGCATCGATTCCGTCATCAAATAGAATATCGGCGTCGGTAACCAGCACACCGTGAATGCCACTGTAAACATGGTAGTAACCAAAAACGGCTGCCCTGCCTTTTTCCGCAGCTGCTACACCAGCGCGGCATTATTTCCGGCTGCTCTTTTACTTCCACTTCCGTAAATAGTGCTTTACTTCCGTAAATAGTACTTCAACAGCAGGAACGGATAACACAACGGTATGAAAAACGTCAGAGCGGTTTGTGTCCAGTTTTGCAGAGGGCGTAAACCGGCATGGCGGCGCGATTTAACGAGCAGCCCTTTTCCGGACTCAGGCGATAATACAGAGCGTCCAGTATCACACCGGGTAGCTGCCACGCATGGACATAAAATACCGTAATACTGATAGAGTCTAACAATGTTGTTGTCAAACGACGCTACCAGCAGCGCAGTCACCACCATGGGAAGATACCATGGTCCCGTGTCCACAGAGCTCGGTTGTCAAGTCAACATTGAACGGGATTTCCAGCGAGGCAACAGCTCGTTCGGATTTGTTCTTACTGGATGAACTTATAACTGCGCTAAGTTCGGCACTTGAGCAAGGACACACGACAGCTGTTGTTAGCGCAACGGTAGCCAGATCGTTGCTCCCGGTTGATGAATCCAGCCCGATGAGTGTCGTTCAAGCCAAGAAAGACAAGCGGGTACTCATGAGCTACGTGGCCATGATTTTCAAAGCCATCATCGAATCACCGTTGCAGCAGCTGACTTTAAGCGAAATCTATACACAGATGCTCAAGCAGTATCCGGCGTTCTGCGCCAGCAAGAAAGGATGGCAGGTAATGTAGGCGCTTGCTGAAGTTCTTAAGATCTTGTTCAACAACAACAACTGATATGTATGATTTTCTCAAATGTCGTAACAAAGCACAGGTTTGGTGGTATGTAATTATGACTGAACTAGTGGACCCCGCGCAAACTGCGCGGAGTAAATGAGCGATGGGTTACAAAATGTGAAAGATACAAACTCACGAATACAAAATTATTTTCTAACTGGCAGGCTCCGCGGGAGTCGCGCCGAACAAATCAGCTGTAAGTAAACTGTGTTAAGTATTGTTTCCAGACCACACCGGTATGCAATGACAGTCGAAGCTAAATTTATGTACGTTCTGTATCTGTACAAGGGTAATATGGTATTATAGTGTACAACACTTCTACTGTCATCGAATGTTTTTTCTGCAGAAATAAAACTATACCGCACGATATCGATGTTACGTATTCCGCAAACCCGTGCACAGAATGTGCAACGGCTCACAGTTTCCAACTCGTGACTAAGGCGCTTTCGTCACTGAGTTTTTCACGAGGCCTTTGCGTAAAAACGGTTCAAGATATTTTATAAATTTCGAGTGCTCTGTGATGGGTATGTCCTGCTTAACCGGTTAAGAAGCGACGGAATTCGGTTTGGGAAATTAAATATTAAATATGGTTCACCTGAACAACCGTATGACTACCAGTAGTGACGAAGACGCATCTCATTATTCCCATCACATAAACGCGCTCACGCTGTTCATGGAGTCCAAGAAAAGCTCCGTTCATGGACTCAACAAAAATGTGCTTAAATAAAAATTTGAATATATATTTGTGATGAATGATGTACCTGTAGACCTCTACTGATAAATTACATATATTCGTGAAAACGCTAAATCAAGCAAAAAATGCCTGATGACCTGTTTGTGTGTGCAAAAGTTATGATCATGCCAAAGACGGTTATAATGAGGAAAAGATTGAAGGACACGAGAAAAAAACGTGACATGACATTGGCATTACATTGGCGTGACATTACATTGGCTGTGTCTCTGTGATACCACTAAAATTTGGAATCAGGTGTCTCTGATCTGCACTAAAGGCAGTATGCTTTTTCGTTTCTTAAAACTTAATGTCTTGCAAAACCAAGTCCGCTATAATCTCAGTATCAACCACTGCTTCGTGAAAATCCCGCGGATCCCTGGCGCGAAAAATGGCAAAGGTGCGTATCAGCAATACTAAATTACTAAGAGACTTAACGTTAGAAAATTTATCCGCATCTTTAGAACTTTTTGCACTGACTGAGTTCAGATGGTAGAAGCAGGTGAAGGTACCCCGTACTTAACGTTATGTTGACTCGGGTTAGAGCATTAACAAAATGCCCAAAGCCCTTATGCAAATGGCTTTTACAAAAGCACTTAGCGATGGTTCGTAGGCTCCTGCTGGACCATTGATCCGGTTGCCATTGACACGTACAAAGACGGTTACAGTCAGCGACGACGACGGCCAGTGAAGCCAGGCAGCTACCGGAGGAGCCTACCTAAAGTTCCGACGTCCTCCATGAACATCTGCGACAACGTGAATTTCTCGCGGCCGTCCAACACTTGGCTGCAGCGCACAGAGTGGCCAATGAACCCAACCCAGTTGGCATATCGTTCATCCGCTTATCCAAGCTCTGCTAATTTTCCCCTGCATCCAGGAACATCCTTCCCGCAGAGCACCGCTGGGGCCCGGCATCCGTCCTTTATGATCAGCTTTCCACCGTTTCCCAGTGGTTTCACACGTCCCTGCATGCCTAGCGCTGGCTGTACGGTCCAGAATGCCGCCAGTACGGGGAACGAAGTACCGGCGGGGACGGGATCATTCCCGAGGCAGCCATCTATTAGACCTTTCCCGAGTTTCCTCAGTCTCTATTCCGGGCATTTCGATGACAACGGGTGGACAGAGGAGCCTGGCACTATCTAATTGCGCTATGTGGTTCGACCATCCAGTTGCAGATAACAGAACTAGCCAAACTGACATACAAGATGCGGATGAAGATTTATTTGGGTGAATCGGATAAGTGAAGAAGTGGTTGGCATACAGGTTTATGCAGTTACAGTACATAACCATCGAAAAAGAGATTGGAGAAGGGGAAAGAATGGCGGTGTACAAGCAGGTCACAGAAAACTTCGATGCTAAATATTAATCTCGTTCAACGCGTTGTACTGATAGATATACAGCGTTCTCATTATTGCCTGTACGGTTGTACTACAATTTTTGACAACAACGATTTTTAATAGTGAGGGAATTTCTGTAATCAAATTTTCTGAACACGAAAATATACATACATACAACCAGATATAATGGCGGGCAGTTACGATGACTAAGCCAGATTATTGGTAATTATCTCAAATGATTCACAAGGCAGAACTTTGCGGAGCAATGAAGGCGGTTTTCTTACAGGTCATCAGCCGACTGAATATCGGACCGACCAGTAATCCGGTGGCACTGGTGCAGTATTCCGATTACGCCGGTGTTGAGTTCTTTCTAAATACGTTCCGCACGAAAGACGAGGTAGAGTGTGCTCTTAAGGAAAAATTCTTAGTGATAATTAGATCGTTCGGGCAAATCACCATGTCACATAATAAAAGGAATGCGTAATTACTAATAAGGCCATTTCTTCGTCGACATGAACACTCACAGATTCTGCAGCGATCTTATAGAAATGCCTACTGCTGTACATCTCATATGAGTTGATACAACTGACAGTTTTTCAGGTACTGCATAGAATCGTCTCTGGGATAACTTATCAGAACCAGGAAACAGCCACCGATTTGGCTCTACTTGCGCTTCACCAAGACGTTTTCACACTGAGCAACGGCGCCCGCGCCCACAACGCCATACCGCAGCTAGGTACGCAGAACTCGATCTGCAAATTAAATATTTATCATACTGATTTAAATGAATTGTAAATATCATCATATTAAGTTTTAGTAATAAGCAATACTAAAACACTTTCTGCTGGCAGCGGTACTGTTTACCGATGGATACGCCAACAACGGCGACTCTGCATTGTACCAAGCCGCTGAGGTGCATGCCAGAAACATCACCCTGATTTCCGTCGGTATTGGCAGCGGCATTAACGATCAGGAACTGATTGGTTATGCTTCACATCCGCGTAAGGAACCCTTTTACATTGATGAATGTTACTTACTGCGCAGTCACGATATGATGTGCTGTATCCAGGGCTTCTCCGAAATGGCGGAAGCATTCGCCTTCGAACTAGAACAACGCAGTTGTACCGGTAAACGATATTGATAATTTGATGAAAGTATCTCGGTAATCTGCAGTGAACTCGGATCTTCCCATTCGGAACACGGAAATGTTGTACTGGTTCCGGAGGATCCGGAAACCGGCGAACTACCGCCGCCCATTTCCATCATCCTGCAACCCGGACAGGAACAGTACATCTGCTTCCTCGTCCAGGTCTCCAGCGGCGCCACCATTATTCTCAACGGCACAACGGGCATGTTGACCGCGTTTATCTCCTTTTCCGTCACGCAACCGAGCGAAGAGAACTTCGACCAAAAGATATCCGCAGCGGCTGGACAGATGGTAAATCTTGCTGGCCGAATTACCAGAATTCTGATTAGGGAGTATCGATACTGTAGGAAACCTTGTACCTGACTCCGACGATCATCTCTTCTTATGCCGGACCCATTGTCGAGCAAGTACAGATTTGTGTGACATTGGCTGTTGGTTCCGCTGTCAATGGTACCGAGGGCGCGACCGGAGAGACGACCTTCGTCGAAGGGCCCGTGGAATGCGGCGCCGAAGAGCGTGACATGCAGGACAACGATGTGCTGACCATCACCAGCCCGCGCTTCAACACCGTGACCAATCAACCAGCCGGGTACCGCGGGGGCCTCAACTGTGTCTGGAAGATCAACACGCCAGCATGGACAACACTCGAACTGACCTTCAACTACTTTAATCTCCGTGAGAACTTTGATGAAGAACCCGGTTGGAACTGCCACGCACAGGATAAACTCACGGTGGCCAGTCAGGGCGCCGTGGAACCCGGCGGGTACTTGTGCGCCCAGCGACCCAACGGATATCGGTTCCCGGTCACACGGGCGTTGAACCACACGTTCATCACGTTCACTAGTTTGGAAGCCGCGACCAAAGAGTTTGGGTTCAGTGTGACGATCAGGGCTATTGGACGGCATCGGCTGGATTGCGAGGTGACGGAGATCCAGCTGCAGATGCATAGGAAGTACCTTCCACGACAGATGCCGGTTAATCGGTATCACCTGCTGGATACCACATGTCGGGCAACCGATAAGGGTGCACTGATTCAGATGGTCACCGGTTATTATCAGTGCGGAACTATTCGCAGTGTAAGACCAGAAAATTGGAGAACATTAGTAAATGAAAAACACGAATGTAACTATTCCTACTGGCTACGTAAATAATCGATAAATTAATACAAATGTTCTATCTATTGACACATGCAAATTGTATTATCCATATATCGAACAACTTGTTCGCGCAGCGGCTTATTACCGCGCTCTATTGATTTTGCTGGGTTAACCGAAATCCAATCCTGTATTAAGCAACGAATTCAGAAATAATAACTTCCCATGATTTGGTGGATTTTATGGATTGACAATTAGCACGGACTGTTTTGTGGATTGACAATATCGACGTCGGAATGACAATTGGGCTGTTGCACAGATTACTTGGGGGAAACTTTTGTGAACCCCAGGTAATGCGGGTATGTCGTTTCACATCGTTAAACGGCACTCGTTTTCTCTGCTCTGTTTGCTGGCTTGCGGACTTCTTTTGTAGCTTCTAACTATGCCAGGAGACCAGCCAAAAGAGCCTTGCCACATATGTGGAAAGCCCTTCACTAAAGGCGCTGGGCTCTCCAACCATGTTAAAGCCTGCGCCAAGAAAGCACCTACACAAGCTCCTGGTTCCACGTCCTCTCCACCCGACCAACAACCCCTTCAATCCTTTTTGGCCGGGAAGCATTACGCCGTCCCTAAAAGAGTGCCGAAGTCTGTCCGACGCCTGTGTGCTCAGTCCCTGACAGAAGTCCTCCGTACATGCATCAGAGAAAACACATCGGCGAGCTGGGCTGATTTGCTGTTGTTTGGATCAAGAGCCCTCTGCTTGCCCGCCACCAAAACCCTCCGCAAAGAATCCCTGTCCTCCATAATACGCAAAAATTTGTCGGATTTGTCTCGCCATCAACATCCTCCACGTCAACATGCTCCTCCACGAACTCAGCAGGGTGAGCTATCGAGCGAGCGCATGTCAGCCCTTGCCACATCGATGTTGCAGGACAACAACATCAGACGCGCCATTGGGCTGGTAATGGGCGACGATTCAGTAGCGCCAGTAAATGCTGAAACCCTTAAAGAGCTGCGCAACAAACACCCTTGCGAACCAGCGGATAGTTTGTATCCCCCTCCTCCCGACCAGTCTAACGTACCGCCCTTAGTAGCACCTGCCGAAGTGCTACAAGCAGTCATGAGCTTCCCTTCGGGTTCTACCGGTGGCTTTTCGGATCTACGCCCACAACATCTGAAAGACCTCCTAGGCGGCCCGCAAGCCGAAGAAAGCGAGTTGTGCTGTGTTCTGGCTGATTTTGTTAATCATGTTTTGCAGAGAGGCGTTCCAGAGGACATTAGACCGTTTTTCTTTGGAGCAAGGCTAATCCCCCTTGCCAAAAAAGACGGAGGAATTCGGCCAATTGCAGTTGGGGAAACGTTTCGCCGTTTGGTCTCTAAAATAATAACCCAGCGTTGTTCTGACAAGATGAAGGAGTTATGCGGCACTGTGCAGTATGGCTGTGGCACGAAAGGCGGAGCCGAAGCAATTATCCACGGGGTCCGCTCGTACCTGGAAGCTACACACGACGGAGAGCGAGTACTGGTAAAGCTGGATTTTAAAAACGCATTTAACCTTCTGAGACGGGACGCGTTATTGGAAGCCGTAAAACAGCATTTTCCCAGTTATTACGGCTATTTCTGGCAATCTTATCGTTACGCGAGCCATTTGGTTTGTGGGGAAGAAGTCTTGTCGTCCGCCCGGGGGGTGCAGCAGGGCGATCCAAGTGGCCCCTTCGGCTACAGCCTCACATCGCTACCGCTCTTCGATGGACTGGATTGCGATCTGTTTCTGGGCTTTCTTGATGATGTTACTCTGGCCGGTACCATGGAGAAAGTGATCGCCGCGATAAAAAATATTGAAGAAAAAGGGAAGAAGATGGGCCTTGAATTGAATTTCAACAAATGCGAGTTCTACCTCATCAATTCAGCTGCGGATGCGGGTAAGCCTTTGTTGGAAATATGGCCAACAATGATCCAGTTGAATCCAGATAATCTTTTCCTGTTGGGCGCACCTTTACAACCAGCCGGTTGTGCGAAATTTCTGAAGGAAAAGAAAGATCACCTATGCAAGTTTGTTCAGCGGCTCACGAAGCTACCTGCACATTACAGTCTTTTTCTTTTAAAAAATTGCCTTAGCATCCCCAAGGTTTTATATGGCCTACGCACTGCCCGATGCTATGAATTTCCAGAGCTGTTGAAAGATTATGACAAACAACTGTGGAATGGTGTGGAACAGCTGACCAACGTAAGCATAACAGAAGCCCAATGGATGCAGATGGCTTTACCAGTTCGGCGTGGTGGATTGGGAACGCGGCGCATAGAGTCACTAGCTATTTGTGCCTTTTTGGCATCGGTGTACGCTGTGCAGCCTCTCGTTTCCAAATTTTACGCGCCAGCTGGTGAACATATGACGCAATCGGCTGTAGAAAACTGGCTTCAGGTGACACACTGCTCGCTACCAGAAGATTGTGTGCGGAAGTTTCAGTACGTGTGGGATGTACCGATGATTGACAGGGATGTATCAAAACTGATGTTATCAACGGTTGGTAATGAGCGCGCAAGAGCCGTATTGTTGGCTGCATTTAGCAGAGATTCTGGGGCCTGGCTGAATGCATTACCGGCGCCTTGTCTTGGAACGTTTTTACGAGATGAAGAGTCAGAGTAGGAGTGGCATTACGTTTTGGATTGCCCGTAGTGACAGCTCATAACTGCGGGGCATGCGGCAAATTAGTGGAGACGAATGGCCATCACGGGCTTTCCTGCAATAAATCAACGAAAGGGCGATGGGCCAGACATGGAGAAATGAACAGTATCGCCAAAAACTGTTGCGAGAGTGCAGGATTCCCATGTCAACTGGAACCGACAGGCCTATCACCAAGTGCGGCGATTCGACCTGACGGCATGACCCTTATTCCAGTCCGTCAAGGAAAGTCTGTTGTATGGGATGTCACAAGTTGGTGTACAGTAGCCGATTCCCATGTTCACGGAAGTTCGAAGAAGGCAGGAAGTGTGGCTCACCTGGCAGAAAATGAGAAGCGACGGAAGTACTCTCCACTGGAAAGTAGACACCTTTTCTATCCCTTAGTTGTTGAAACGTTCGGTGTCTTTGGCCTAGCTTTAAGTGAATTTGTACATTTTATGGGCCGTAAAACTCGTGAATTAACTGGAGAAGCGCGTTCTACTGCTTTTATGAAGCAACGTTTTAGTTTGGCTGTCATTAAGGGAAATGCTACTGCTGTGTTAAGTACGTTGCCTTTTAACCCGCGGGCGGATAGAGATTTTGGTTGTTTTTTTAATGTTTAAATTTTAACTGTAAAGTAGTGTGCCCGCGCTTGCACTTTTGTTGTTATGGCGGCTATTGCCCAATAAACACATCGATAAATAAATTAGACAGCAAGCACCGCAAATAAAAAAGCACGCCCTTCTATTGACACAATATTAGTCTGCACATTAAAAAAGTAAAATCTCCAAAATTGTGGTATTTCTGTGAACAGGGGAATGACGAAAACCTTTATTTTATTAACCAAGCCAGCGCACCTGGTTTCCAAACCTGCTCCGGCTCTGCAGCCTGCATCAACGTACCGGAAGTTGGCGTGCCATTCCGTTGCAAACTCGAACGCAGAGTGAAACCGTTGAGTGGCGTGTATAACCGTCTGCCAGGGTCCCGCAATCTTTTCGACCTACCGTTCTTGGAGGGCGAAATCAGCATCGGCGTAAAGTGAGTCAACTGACCGCTTAGCAATTTTCAGCTTTCAGCACATACTGTGGTCTTGTTGTTGCAGGATGATGTTGGCTCGCGATCTGAATTTCGCTCCTGTTGAGACAGAGAACTCGGATTTCCTGGATTTCGATTTTCAGGGACAGCGGGTATACTTTAAAGTAGAGGCGCGACGCAAGCGCGGCAGCGCTGTGGCATTTGTCGTACAGGCTGATCAGTGCTGGAGTACTCCGACACCGGACTGGAACGACAAGCGCCGATTTGATATCGTTCTTAACGGGTACGTCGAATAGCAGAGCATCGTTTAGCGCATTCGGTAACCTGTAGCCGGTTAAGTGCACAAAGCTTTAATTATGTATGTGTTGCATGTGTGTTATAGTTGCCCAGTGCATTACGACGACATTGACCTGGGCTTCGAGCGCCACTACTCTCAGGCCCACGAGGACGTGTTCAGCGTCCTAGCCGTCTATTTCAACGAGACGGAGGCGCGGGATCTGCATTTCCACTGCATTGCACGGGTTTGCAGCGTCGGTGTGGATGAGTATTTGTGCAGCAAAGACTGCGTGTGGCCCCCTGATTTCTCTGTACTACGGCAGAGTGGTCCAGTTCTGGCACAGAAAACCGAAGCTGCTATGCAACGGACGGCACAGCTGGGCCATGTGCGCTTCCACGGCCGGCACCGACATACTCAGGACGCAATATGACCGCTATTTCCGGACAACAATTGTTGTATTCGCAGCTGAGTTGTTTATTTACGAAATTGTATGCGTGAGCTGACCTTCCTCTTTATAGCTAATTACGTCACCATGTGTTACTTATTTTATTGAACTACATTTTTCTATGTTTCCGAAGTGCAACCAAAATCGCGCTCTCTTTTGCTCGTAAACTCGCTCGTATTTCAAATTGTGCTAGCAAATTTCTGCAAGACATGAATCAGCGATGAGCAAATCGTTTTCCGTCGGAATTATGGAAAAGCGTAACGATATTCAGTTCAATAAACCAGGCAGAAAATTCCATGTGAAAGCAAATTTTAACTGCTTGAAAGGAGTCATTCGTATATCGAGCGAGAAATTGCAAAGTCATCGTTGCAACGCGTGTCACAATTTTCGATCCCATGTACTTGCGTCCATGCATTACGTTCGGTGTCGTACATCTCTAACGTTTCCAACAATTTACCACGGTTCTTCGTGTTACTACGTCCGCCGTAAACATACAGTTGCGATTCGGCAACGAAAGCACAATGATTCCAGCGTGGCGTGCGCAGTGTGTCTAACGTTTCCCAGGCATGCGTTCCAAAATCATCCGCCAGGTTAAGACGGATGCATGAGTTCGGCAGTGCAGTTTTATTCGTCCATCCGCCAATGACATACAACTGAGAATCTAGTGCCACCATTGCAAATCCATGCCGGTTTTCTGGCAAGTCAGGCAGTGAATCCCACGCATCGGTTTTCGTGTCGTAGCGTGTGACCCATCGGTGGCGACCCAAGCCGGTCATGAAAATTATAGTGTCACCGCAACGCGCTCCAGCGCTGACGTGCCGTATTCTGTAAGCAATGCATCATCACACATTAAAAAGCAGTTCTGTGTCGGACTAAGCACATACGGACTGCTAATTCAAGTAAAAAGGTGGCTGTAGCAAACTGGATGCATTCCAAACTGGGAACAAAATCGGGAACAACTGTCTGGTTAAAATCAACGCTCGCACATAAGTGCCGTCGAAGAACTTAGTCCGAATATTATGTGGCTAACACTTTGGACATAAAAATGTGGACGACATTCCCTTGCCGTGAATTATTACTCCTATAGTCTGTTTAATTAATCATGAGCAAGTCATTCTGCTTCCATAAGCATACGCATGTCAAGGTCAATGCAACCCATGCGACCGAAATATGGGTCGGTTTACCATCGATGGATTGCGCTATTAGAGAACAATAAACGTTAGTGTCAGATATGACACAGAAGCAGATGAAAAATGGGGCAAATATCGCCTTTATTGGTACAATAAAGCAACAACAACAACACAAAAACCAACAGAAAACCCAATGAGGGAAAAGCTGGAAAAAGTGCCTGCAGTGCGCTGGTGGGGAATCGTGATTAATGATTCCGCGTGCTGCGGGTGTGCAACAGCTGATGCTGCAAAGCATGGAATCGCCCGTAGGCGCAGGGCTCCACCCCCAAGAGTGCAGAGAAATGCGCTGATTGGTCAGCGTGGACAAAGTATACGCTGAGTAAGCAGCGTAATAGCGCGGCACGAATGGAGTAGCCATGTGCGGGCGGGCGACAGAGCAAAGCCACAAGAGGTGTCTACCGCCTCGAGTGAGCGGTCTCTGACATGCCTCTGGGCGGGAGTGGGAGCTCCTGCGAGCACCTTCCGACTCTGCCCCTGGCCAACCCGGTAGGGTGCCAGGATCCGATACCCGGTAGGGCCGGATGCCACTTTGTCTCTAAACCCGGTAGGGTCGCTTCCTCCAGACCCGCGGTGCAGTGCACCGAACGGCCGAAATCTGGAGTGCACTCTGGTTGCTGGGGGTTCCAGTGGGGTTTGAAGGCTTGGTTGGTCGAACAAGTAAAAAATAAAGTTTATAAGGCTCGTAGGTTAAACATCGAAATAAAAAAGATCACAATTCCGGTGAGAATTAAAGAAAGATCATAGTTAGAGATCCCAAAGCCAATTCCTTTGGTTAAATGGCTAAATAAAAACATCAATTTCTTTGGTTATTAAAGTCTAGAAAAACCAGGTGTGGTTAAAAAACTAGACGAAACAAAAGGCTTATTCCGACTAGGTATACCACAGGGCCGCTTTTGTCCACAGGGGTCCTAGTCAACGGTCTGCTTTATCCGGTAGGATATGTCTGGTCCTGTGAATCCGGGGCGACGGTTCCCAGAGGTGTCCACAAGGATCCAGTGAAGTAATTCCAGCGGAGTTGTATGAGGAAGGCACGGTTGCATGCGCAAGGACAGGTTGTCCCCTTCCTGATTGTGGTGGACCAAGCCCGGTTGGGCGGTCCTAAAGGCTCTCGAATAACGCCTCTGAGCGGGAGGGGTGCTCCTGCTATCCAAAATGGTATGCTTGGACCGATTCCGTTTGGATGGCCCATATGGGTCTCTAACTTGGACCGGTTTTGGCCTTGCATGCCGGTTTGGTCATGCGCCTAGGTCCAAAATCTTCTAAGTCCAGGAGGGCCAACATGGAAAAATTTCTAAGTCCGAGGACCAAGTGGTGTAATGGGCCAAACCCGTTGGGGCGGTCCAAACTCGGTCTCTGACATGCTCTGGACCGGGATACAGGGTTCTGGAATGGTTTGGCCTTGATTGCAGCCTTTGGAGGGGAGTGGGTCCTGCATAACCGGTTTTGGCTCTCCGATTTGGACTTAGTCGTTTTTCGATGAGCCACGTCATTGGACGGGCCAAAAGACTTAGTCGATTTTCCAGTGGCCACGTCGTTGGACGGGCCAAAAGACTTAGAAAATTTTCGGTGGGCCACGTCATTGGACGGGCCAAAAGACTTAGTCGATTTTTCGACAGTCCAAAGTTGATGGCGGGCCAAAGTTGGTCCGTCTCACTGGCCGTGGGCCATGAGTTGGCTACCATGTCCGATGTGTCAGGTAGGTTTCCCTGAGACCGTGGCCATAACAAAATTAAGTGGCGTCTGATGAAAACATCAGGTTGGCCGGGCCAAACTCCAAAAAAATTAAGTTGTGGGCGCCGGTAGGCGTTTTCCACAAGGGAGTCGGTCTGCTGACTAGAAGCATCCTCTTTTGGCCTCGGGCGGTGCATCTTTTAGATGGGCCTCTGGGCGGTCCGTGGTGAGGATGATGGACATGGCATGCAAAATGGGTATACCACAACTTCTATGTGGCTCCCAAACTCCCTTGTCCCAGTTGCCTGGTATGGCAACTAAACTCGTGAACCATCTATGGTCGGTTAGACCCATAGTGGGCCTGGTCCAACTTCTATGGGCCAGGACTTGGCCTTGGCTTGTCGCAACTTCTATGCGGGCCAGGCTGATCCACGGCTTGTCGCAACTTCTATGCGGGCCGTCGCCACATTCTGGGCGCTGGATCCTTTCCATGCCGGTGAACTTAGGCGTTGTGCCAAGTTCGGTCCGGTGGACTCCGTCGGATGGTCTGGGATGGCTGAGCCAAATTCATGGTCCCAGCCGCTAAGCCAGAGCCTATCCGGGGAATCCGGTTAAGATCCAGGGATTTAGGTCCGGTAAGGTAGACGGTACATGGCCGTAAGCCACGTTTGTTAGACGAGGGTAACAACCGTTAGATTGCACCCATCATGATATTCAAGTCCGATCCAGCTAATGTTGGTCCCTGTTTAGGGCCAACATGCAGGAATGGCCGTTGGCCTATCCCTGCCCTCCTTGTCCCGCTTGGTCGCCATCGCCCAACCCGGGGTTGAGTGGGTCGATGACGCTTTCCTCCATGTCCGCCAACTCCTGTTCGGTCTGGTTTGCTTGTTGTTGGCTGGAGGTGCTGGTCGGCTGAGCTTCTTGGCCAGGTTGTGTGGCCAGGGTTTGGACGTGTGCGGACGATCCTGTTGAGGATCGTTGGGTACGGAACTTCGTTGGAAGTTTCCTGGTCGCCGTTCGGTTAACGAACGCTTCCGCACCGTCATCGAAGTCCGATGGCTGTTTATAGCGGTAATCTTTAGCGCGACTCCTGTAAATGTTCAGGGCGCTTTGGATCTTGACTCCCGCTTCGATCTCGTGGATCTGGTTTCCCAGGAGAGCCACTTGGGTCAATAGCCGAGGGACGATTTTCCCTTGCCGGTAGGCAACTTCCAGTTCCCAATGGCAGTGTAAGTGGCCAAGTCTGGCGGCAAAGATGCGTATCAGCGTGCCATTGTAGGAATAGGTTTGTGTCGCTGGGTCGTCCTTGTGATCGGCTGGCTTGCATGGGATTTCTATAGCCGCTCTGCAAGCTGCAATAATAAAACTGGCGTTCGCGTCCGGTAGGACAAACTGGGCCAGATATTTGACGACGTCAAGTTGGTCGTCCTTAATGTGCAATTGGCACAAGTCATTCCAGTCCGGTCTGGTGATGGGCTGTCCAAGTAAGTCACGTCCGTGATGCTCGATAGAGCATTGTCACGGACCATTGGGTAGCCTTCTCGGTTTTCAATGTGGTCCTTCATGTTAAAGTCGCGGGGCCACTCTTTCCTCTGCATTTCCATTTCGAGGCCGGACCGGGTGACGAAGGTTTGCAGATTTTGGACCATGGCGTCAACTTGGGCCCATTTGTCCCTGGGGTATGGGATGGCACCCATGATGTAATCCGTCACAACCCGGTGGGGAAGTGGCCGGATGTTAATGCCCTGGTCCTCAGCATACTTGTAAGGATCAAAGTCCGAAGTGCTGCCAGATGTTGCAGGCTGGACCGGTAGGTCCGCCGCTGTCAATGTGGCCTCAGTCTCCATTGGTATTTGGATACTGATGTTGTGGGCCACTGAGCTGACACTTCGTTCTGGTCGCTTGGTGGACTGCGCGACAACCAGGCTGGACTCAGTTTCGTTCCGTTTCCCGGGTGATGTGCGCGGTTGGCGCTCGGGCTGGCTACGGCTTTGGCGTCCACTTTGGTCCTGGTTACGGCTCTGGATCTGGTGACGTAAGTCATCTGGGTTCCGCGGTAGCGGTGCCAGTGGCGTGCGCTGTTCAGTGCGCGCTGGCTGGTATTGGCCTATTAAGGCGTCCAGCAGTCCA